CACTTACTAGTCGTCATTTTCGAAAAACATTATGGCAATTTATTATTAGGATTCGTTCTGGTAATATTATTGTACCTGAAAATCAAAGATGACTTGATTGCTATTATATATCTATGTTACTATGTCTTAATGAATATCATGATATTTTAAAGTAAATGAAATAAATCAATATTTTGAGAAATATTTTTTAGTTGAATAATCTTCTTCGAAAGTAAAAAGATCTTGACTGACTCACTGTATGAAGAAAATACATAATGACCTGAGAAGATCTTACGGATGCATGGATGCTGTATGGGTGTTGATGTGAATATTACTGTGGGTCTACTCGTCAGGGACCCCATAACCACACCCACCCATTATGATAGCAGATGACTCCAATGTATAATCTGAAAATATTGAATTTGTCTAGTTTAATTGATACGAACAGAATATTTATTCGATGAATGTTTAAATGCAATCTATGGCATGATTAGAACTAGAATCATTGAAAACGACAAATATGAACATATTTTTTCATGATAGTATTTTATTGAATGTATTCAATAAACATTTTCGGATGTCTCAATCACAGATCATTAACCTCTCGTTATTTTTTAAAATTTTTGTTCGAAGAAACAAATACAAATATAAGATGATTCATAGGAATGTTATTAAATGATTCTATATTGTTAAAATAATAACAGTCGACTTTGCTCAAAAGAATGACACGATAGCTGAGCATTGAGCAGATAAGTCCGGACATTTGAGCATTCTATATGTAATTTTAATCAAAATAATTACTAAAGTATCTGTATATGACTCGTATGATTAGTTAACACATTTTTAATGATACATATAACTTGTTAGCAACTATCTAAATTCGATAGACTAGCGAAGCTTTTTAAAGAAATAAAAAAAAATATTCGAATATCTGATTGGTTATTCGATGGACTAATATATGTGAGAGAGTGTCAAGTCAAAAATACCTCAGTTTTGTTTTCATTCTAAAACTTCAATGGTGCACTGGAGCACTATGATATTTTTATCAGTTGCAGTTCATATGTAGACCAAATAAATATCTACCTTCTGATTCTTATGTTGTGATGGAAGCAATGCGTTTCGGTTATTTCGTTGACATCATATAGTTCAAGATATTTCGTTTCGACTTTATTTCCTGAATTCAATTCTGACTTCGAGCATATGAGATGAATGAAGTATTAGTAAAAGAGTTTTATCATCATGAACTTACTTTAAAAGCTGAGCAAATATATCATCTAGTGTTTTTACACATAGGAAATTTCATCAAGTTAAGATCAAACAAAGGACAAACAACATGTGAAATTTTTCTGGTCTTTCAAAAGTCATTGAAAAGTCTTCAATAGATTTTCAAATAACTTCTAACTTTTTGTCAGTCTTCTACTTTTTTCAATCCAATATGTGTTTTTAAATAAGCTTTATAAGTTGTCATTCTAGTGCTAATCTCGAAATCAATGACACCTCTAATATCTACATGGTAAATCGGCAAGAATTCGGAAAATTCATGAAAACCTTTCATATAAGAATTGAATTATGGAAGCAAAGTCGAAGCGAAATATTTTGAACTAGATGATTTCCATATGTATAGCAAAAATAAATATTTCAAAAGAGCAGAAACTTTATTCCATCTTTACTTATTTTTAATAAAGTTTCAAATGATAATAATTCTGTATGTTGTTAATCTATGGAGATTCTATTGTTTGAAGCTCCACTTTCTAAGCTCCAAACGTCGGAGCTCATCTGTCGATGTACCGCTCAAAAGATACGTTGATAATTCCATTAATGCTATATTGTTGTCTCTTTTGAAAAACAAAATTAACGAGTCCCATAAACGTTTCAATTGAATTCAAACTGTAATTACGTTAAACTTAATTTTTTTCGAAAATCTACGTTGCATGAAATTTTAATAGTTACACTTGCTTTATTTGAATGCATCACTTCAAAAGAGAATAGTGTATCGAAGCCTATATGAGTAATCGACGAAGTTCAATAAAACTGATTTATATTTTTTCAAGCGTTTCTTGTTATTTGTGTTTTGTAGATCGATAAGAAACGTCGATTCTGCTTTGTGACTGTTAATTTACTAAGATTATTCTTTTTTTTTCTTTCTTCATCAAAAGAGTAACCACGAATAAAAGTGTGTATGGTGCATTTGAAAAGAGTCCCAAGAGTAGCAATTCCTATGAATTAGCATGGTGTTTTCTTTTATGGGGAAAAAAGATGATAGACTTTGGCTAAGATGCTCTTATGATTAAAAAACTATTTGATTTAATTGTTGGTGTGAAAGGAATTGTGAATATACTACAATAGAAATCAAACGGCTTTGTTTAAAATCTCGAATATCTAAATGTTGAGCACGACTAAGTATACTCACTTATTTAAAATGACTATGTTGCACAAGTATGATTCAGTTCTCAAACGTTCGTATTTCAATGAATTAATATTGTCTTATTGTCTCAGTTGAAAATAGACGAAAGAAACTCTTTCGAAAAAAAAACAAATGTTTAACATAGAACTAAACAATGAATATTGTTGTCATTGAAGCCATGGTTAATGATTATCACCAGAGTAAATTTCACCGACATGGCGAGAATTATCGTTGGTTGTTTTCTACTTATGCAGAAACGTATATGTGACCTCTTTTAATCATCTGTAAGTGATCAATCAAAAGTTTATTTTGAAACATTGTTTAGACAATGATTTTATTCCTTACGATGACTTCTAACGCAATAGAGATGCTTGGTCTAACCAAAGGGAAAAGACTTCAGTCTCATACAACGTCGACGTTGCTGTAAAAAAATGAAACGGCTGACACATCCATGTAGGATGAAAATTGGTCGGATGACTTATTCGATTGTTTTTGTTCATTCTTTGTTTTATTTGCAAAACAAATACTGATAACTTCATTTCTTTCTTTGCTCTCCTTCAAAATATGGGCAAGTACTCAACTTATCCCCAATGTCAGTCTGATGCAATAGCTTTCTCATTGCAAAACGATCTGTCGTACCGATAACGTCATCTCGCGCCCTCAGAAAGTGCGAAGTTCCTCATTGATGATAATTCATAGGACGTTGCTAATTTATTACGAAATAAATTCAAATGAAAATAACACAATATAATCATTTGAAGCATAATCGGTATCTTGACTACTCAAAGCAAATATAGTCAGCATAATCATAGAAATACCATTAATTTTATATCAATCTATATTTCTGTTACCGTTTCTAGATAAATAGCATATATTTATGCTTTGTTGATCCGAATGATATTCAACGACGAACACTCCAACACATACCGGATGTAAAGTTGGCTCTCAATGATGTTATCTGATATATTTTAATACCTACATCAATATTCACGTCAGCTATAATCATACCATTTGTTATTTTCGTTAACCAATGGTTAAAAACGATTTAAAAATCATGATCAGGAATCATGTTTCGTGTACGAACACATCTCATCAGTTCAGCATAAACAATCAACTATTATTCACTTCGAAATCAAAGGAAGGCTACCATTTCCCGAATAATTCTTGATAAGAACAATATAGAGAGCTGCCATTTCCCACCGCTTGAAAGAGTGATATCCGGGCAGTTGATTGGTATAGAACTCATTAAGATGAAAGATGTTTTTTTTTATAGATACCTTTGACTGAACACTTTTGCTTTGAGTATTTTTATCAATTTTGACAATAATCTCAACTCAAATTATGTCAAAATGTACGTCAAATCACCCGTTTTCTGCTATACAATAATTACATATTTTATTATCTCTCAACTTCTTATTCTAAACGGTTTTAAAAAAACAAATGTTAATTTTTTAGCGGAAAATGGATGATTTGAGCTACATTTTGTGATAATTTGAATTGAGATTATTGTGAAAATTGACGAAAATACCCAAAGGAAAAAGTGTTAATTCAAAGATACCAATGAAAAAGCGTCTTTCGTCTTAATGTGTTCTTTATCGATCGATGGCCTCAACATTGCTCTATCAAATGGTGAACACCACAGCTCTCTATCTTGTTTCTATCAAAAGTTATTCAAAAAGGGTGTGGGTGGGTGAATGTAGCTGTGGGTGCAAATGGTATTCTTCTTTCCTTGACACACCTGACACTCACACTCGCACCCACACCCTAGATACCAATAACCTATTACAAAATTTTATCAAAAGATTGAAAAGCTAAAAATAAAATAGTTCGTTTCTGATTGGCCCAGTTTCTGGTCAATGAAAGCTTGAATTGAAAAACCGAGCCCAAATTTGGATCCACTAACCCCGATTGCCTTTGCTCCATTCTATTAGATTACGGCTACGACTACAAATATGTATAGGTGACTGCAAACGTGGCCACACACAAACCTATTTGATTTCGTATGACCCTTCCTTTTGTCGAAGGAATATGGAAATAAAAATCAGTTATTCACTTCAGACTAGATAAATGCCTGGAATCGCTTTGATGCAAGATATAGCTTCGAAGACTTCGTTCGAATTACATGTCTAATGATTTACATGATATTAATTGACTTGATTCTCTTATTTTTAATCTTCTTACATAGTTTTCGAAGTACTTTTAAACTTCTTTAGATATATTAATTGTATGTTTCAGTACATTTTATTTTATATATGTTTGCATAATTGTTTTTCTTGATGTTTCGCTTTAATATTATATTCATACTTCATAAGAGTATGATGTAATTTCGATTCAAAAGAAGAAAAAACGTAATTTATATTCAAAATATACATACAGGTGTATTTCTTTTTCATTGTAATCGCGCATATGTACATTTATCATTTTTTTTTACCAAAAGATAAAGTAATCAACCAGAATTATGACACATTTGATTATTTCTTTCTGACTCACTATTGTTCCCCACATTTACCTTTATCGAAAAATATATGAATGATGTAATAGTTGAGAACGAAGTATTTATTTGTATCAGTTTTCATTCATTACTTAATCATTGTTGTTAAAATATTAACAGTAAAATATGGAGAAAACATCTGAAAGTAATGTGAAAAAATTAGAGAAACGTTTAATGGTAAGTCTGATTAAATATTTCTTGTAATTAATTATAGACAATTTGTTTGTGTGGAATACGTATTTGTAAAGCAAATTTTTTTGTAGCGACGATTGAGTGCTTCATCACTTGGTCATTCAACAGGATTTGACTATAAACATTGTACAAAACATTTATGGAAAATATTGAAAAAATCTGTCAAGACACATGAGTTAGATTTAAGTTTTATTCTTTGTTTTATGTCATTGTATAATTCTGTACAACGTGTAATACTTGTTCATGATCTTGATTTTGAATATAACTATAAACTTATTGATATGGTCCTTGAACAACCAGAATCTCCCATACGTTCATGTACATTAGCTATGTTAATTGAACCCATTGAATTATATGTACGTGATTTTCATGATTTGCTTATCTTAAAATCAAATGATGAAAGTAATTTTGACATATCAAGAAAGTTAGTGCAAATCTTATTAGCATTAGATAATGATGACACATACAACTTCAAAGCTACATACAAAATTTTATTTGAAAATTCTATTGAAACAGACGTCGAAGTTGTTCAAGGTGAAAAAACTATTATGTCAAAATTACTTATTCAATTACTTGAAGGACAACGTAATGAAGAACTTATTCATTCGATATCAACACCAAAATTAATTGCTAAAAAATTATCTGAAGCTAGTGAAAAAGATACACCTAGTATCGATTATGATACATTTATAAAAATTTTTACGCATGATGCTTTTTCACAGTTATCAGCCATATTTGATACATATGAGGATAAATACGGAAGTTCAATACAAGTAGCAATTGAACATCAATGTCAAGGTAATATTGAAGCCGAATGTTTTCAAGACATAGTTGAATATACACGATCACCATCTGGTTATCATGCTAAAATACTTCAACAAGCGTTAGATAAAAAACCAATTGATTATATAACATTAATAAGAACTATTATTGGTCATGAAGACAAAGATTTATGTGAAATTAAATTAGAATATTCAAAAATGTATGATGAAACCCTTTATCAAACAATAGAAGATCGTATTGATATTGCAGAAAGAAACGACTTATTGGCTATGATGGTTGTAATTAAGAAATATTTAACGTCAAATGATAGTGAAGAAGTTTGTTCTGATGATAGGGATAATAGTAGTCTAACTAGAAGAGCATTACGTTCAATAACATCGAGGGTCATGGAAATCAAAAACAACTGTTCATTTCATGCTTTTGAGAAATTTTTTCAAATATTTAAAATAAGACATTCATATTAATCAGATAATATTACTGTACTTTGTCTCATTTAAAATAAAAGTATATTCTATTTATATACAATATAAGAAATAATTTGTTAATGAATCAATATTCATGACTATATAATATTAAGGTATAAGGATGGCTGAAAAAGCCTTCGATTCTTTACAACTGTTGGCAAAAGAAGCAGTTTATGTATTCGTAATACAACAAATATATAAAGTTTTATAGTCTTCATTATGTATTATTCTATACTTGACTGAATATTGATTGAATTCGTGCAGCGATACAAACGACGAAAATAAATGCCATTTTATCATGCAAGTGAAATAAGCAGCGAATTCGAATATTTCTTGCTGATATTCGTTCTTATATCTGTGCTATCGTTCTAAGTAGCCATGCTGAATTTAGAATCTGATTCTCCATCGAATGATGATATTTTTAGAGGGGCTCATTTGACAGAAAATAGCGATCTCAGCCCCCCGAAACCAAGTATTCTTATACTTATCTGGCGATAATCCTTGCCAAAATTCGCTTCTATATCTATGCTGGTCCTTGTATTAGTTGTGCTAAAGATCGAATGTGATTCTCCATAGAATATGAATATGAGATAGCATATGCAATTCCAGAAAGTGCTAGTTTCGAAAAAACATTTAGCTTTTGAGAATGATACCACATTTCAAAACTAGTGTTTTTATAATCATTGCTATGGATTTGAACACTTAGGTATATGAGACTATTTGAAATCGGTCAAAGGTGTGCATGTGGATTTTCTCTTCATCAACATCCATCAGAGATGTGCACAGCACCTGAAAAACGAGGTGCGGACGGCGGAAATATGACGTAAAATGTAAAACAGTGGCGGCGACGGCCACTGTCCCAAAAGCCTTTTCCGCGAGCTGGGCGGTCGCTGTGCATTTTGTCAAGCTAGAGATGCAGACCGTCCGCACATCCACGCGGGTGTGGGTGTCAGGGTGGGTATAGTTGTGGGTGTGAATGTTAGTCTTATTTCATTCATACACACTCACATCCACACCCCACACCCCCACTCATACCCACACCCACACCCACAACCCCACTCATACCCACACTCACACCCACACACACACCCACACCCTTCCTTAGAGTCTTCAAAATCTTTTTGAAGAAAGCTTGTTTTGTTACTCAATAATTTACAAGGCAATTTATACAAATAAACAATATACCATCAAGACGAATTAAGCTATCTGAATACGTCTCTTATAAGTTTTTTCTTTCATTGTGTCTATTTGCAACAAATTTTCCGTATAAATACCAATATATCAATCACTTTTGGGATTATTACAGAACAGAAGAAAGAAAAGATTCTTTATTGCATAATAGTTTCACTACATCTGATACATTAAACTATGACGATCCTGACTTTTAGACATCATCCTCAATAAGACGAGTCTAGACATTGGAGTAACTTAGCACCTAGGTAGTTAATTTTACATAGTGACTACTCTCGATCAAAATCATCTTCGAATGATTTTTTTGCTAAATACAATTTGAAATCAAAGATACGTACTTGTCGAACAATGTCGAAACGTGCAAAATTCGTTTTCTATGATTCGCAGTCAATTTTTCGCTGTATTTATACTAGTAAAACTTTCTTGAGTTCTTCAAACATACACATCTTGTTTACATAAATCAATGTACCATGATATTTTCGTCAAGTAGGTGTTCTCTATTTGCCTACACCGATACCCAAAGGGTGTGGGTGTAATGCAGATCAACACCCACACCCATACACACACCCAAACCCAAACCCAAACCCACACTCACATCTCACACCCTTCTTCTTTATACCATATAAAAATTGTTTGGACGTGAGGTGTGGGTGTTTGTGAAACGAAAAGGCACACCAGTATTCTCACACACCCACACCTACACTCGGACCCACACCGACACCCACACCCTCAAGTCTATCTAATTTCGTTTTTTTAGCCATGGATTTCGAGTAGCCACATAATTTTTGAATTCAGAGGGTCGATAAATCGTTTTCTTGTCTTTGCTTGGTTCTTGTATACTTTCAGAATTTCGATTAATATTGTTGTAGTCTTTATTATTTGCCCTGCTTGATATTGTCGTTGCTGCTGAATTGTAATTTTTATTCGGTCTGAAACGCGTCTGAAAATCGTCTTCCGCATTAAACTCTTCTTGAGAATATCGTGGTTCAGAAATAAAAATTTCCATTTGCCTTTGAATCTCAGCAAGATCGTCTTTCAGAAGAATATGCTGATCAGCTTCCAAGATATTTTCTTGGTTTTCATTATTTGATGTTTCTACGTGATAAAAACAAAGGTTTGCCTCATGCCTTCTGAACTGAATGTGCTGTAAACGTTGTTTAACAGATTCTGTACTACTCGTATCGTATCCATCAGTAAAACAGAATAAGTTACAAGAAGAAGTGGATTGCCGATCAATATGATCAAATATTTGATCGAGAGCATCAAAAATAGCGGTGCCCAGCGACGACTGACTACATTTGATGGTAGCAAGCTTATTACGATTAGAGGTGCTATCAGCCGTTATCGCATTACATTGTGGAATGAACGGTGGATCTTTGTAAAGTTTTTCATCGAATAGAAACATTTCGAATTTATCGTTC